TCAGGTGGTCCTATTACTACTTGTTGAAGAACAACGATATTCACCAAATGTGTCACAAAATTCTTTTGCACTAAAGATAGTGAGTTTATACTCACATGGATTTGGTGGCGTTAATAGCCACGCTAAACCTGTTTGCACGCCAGTGAAAGTTTACACTAGATTTAAATAAACAGAAAATTTTGTTACGCCGGTTTCATTTTTAAGTTTGCACAGTAGAATATTCTTTTTATTTCCAACTTATCGTGGTCGTTATCACAATAGTAATGTGTTAATTGAAGAAAAAATTGGAATCCGTATAGGGTGTCGTGTAATTCTAAAAAGTACTGTTAAAGAGATGATTAGTCGTGTGGAAAAGAGAAGAAGTGATAAGCGAAGAAGCCGAATTTGAATTGCAAATAGACAGAAATTACCACTTGTACCGGACTTCTTGTATTTTGAAATTTTAGCTAGTTCCAAGATGTAAGCAAAGAAGAAAGATGAAGAATTACCCAGACAAATACAAAGAAATAAATAAACACATAAAAAAAATAAAAGAAGCCAAAGAGGCGTGGATTAAAGAAGAGTGTGAAGAAATGGAAATCTATGAGAAAAAGTACGATGCGTTCAATATGCATAAAAAAGTAAAAGAGATAACAGGAAGCATAAAGAAATGCCAAATAGGTAAACTTAAGGACAAAGATGGAAATCTTATTGTAAATCTAGAGAATAAAATAAAAAGATGAACAGAATAACTTAATGAATTAATTGAAGACTTTAGAAACAACTTAACTCAGATAATCAATGCAACTGGGCCAGACATATTGAAAGAAGAAGTAGAATACGCTATAAGAAACGCTAACAATGAAAAAGCAAATGGACCTGATGAAATTCCTGTAGAACTGTTGAAGCTTTTAAATGATAAATCCGTAACCATAATATTACATCTATTCAATACAATATACGATACTGGTATAATACCTCCAGAATCGTTGCTGTCTACGTTTGTCACCATACCGAAGAAAACTAAGGCAATGCAATGTTCAGATCATCGAACGATCTCCTTGCTAAGTCATCGGCTTAAAATATTTCCTAGAGTCATCCACAACCGAATCTATCAAAAATTAGATACCGATATTAACGATACACAGATGGGATTCAGAAAAGGATTAGGTACAAGAGAAGCTCTCTTTGTCTTAAACGTCCTAACACAGAGATGTCTAGATGTTAACCAAGAGGAACAGGCCTGCTTTATAGACTTTTAAAAGGCCTTTGACAAAGGACGCCACAATAAACTCAAAGAAATCCTGGAGGGTAAGAACATCGACACCAGAGACATACAAATAATATTAAATCTGTACTGGAATCAGCGAGCTAATATAAAAATAGAAGACCAAACATCGGACGAAATAAAAATGCGTAGAAGAGTACGACAGGGATGTATATTGCCACCTCCCTTGTTTAATATTTACAGCTAACAAATATGCCAAGAAGCTCTCTCATATGCAAACGAAGGGATAATAATAAATGGAGAAATTATCAATAACATTTGATACGCTGACGATACTGTGATAAGAACAGGAGAAGATCTACAACATATAGTTTAAAGTATGAATGAGATATGTAATAACTACGGCATAAGGATAAACGACAAAAAACCCAAATATATGACCTTCAGTAATAATCCAATGCATGACAATAGTATCGCAATAAACGGTACCCAACTTGAAAAAGTAAGCGAATACAAATACTTGGGAACCCTCATCAATAAAACAGGTGACCAAAATCACGGGATAAAAAGACGTATTGAAATTGCCAAGTCTACCTTATAAAAATGAAAAAATTATTTTGTAATCGTGATATTAGTATTCATTCTACGGACTAGAATGTTAAAACGCTATGTATTCAGTACTTTGCTTTACGGTGTTGAGGCATGGGCTCTTAAACAGAGGAATATTACAAATCTTGAAAGCTTTGAGATATGGTGCTACTGCGTATACTAAAAATAAGTTGGGTGGATAAAATTACAAATGAAGAGGTAATACGCAGAATAAATAACGATCTAGAAGTCCTGAATATAAAAAAGAGAAAACTTAAATACTTAGACTACCTGATGAGAGGACAAATGCAAGGAAAAAATCCAAGGACGCGGAAATCCAGGCCGTAGAAGAATGTCCTGGATGAGAAATTTAAGAGAGTGGTTTGGCTGCACCACTAACGAATTATTCAAAACAGGAGTAAATAAAATTAGAATCGCCATTATGATGTCCAATCTCCGATTGGAGAGGCACTCAAAGAAGAAGAAGAAGAAGTAACCATTCCGTAGTGAACTATTTGTTGAAGAACAACGATATTCACCAAATGTGTCACAGAGTTCTTTTGCACTAAAGATAGTGAGTTTATACTCGCATGGATTTGGTGGCGCTAATAGTTTGCATGCCAGTGAAAGAAATTTTTGTTGCGCCAGTTTCATTGTTAAGTTTGCACAGTAGAATATGCTTCAATTTCAACTTATTGTGATCGTTATCACAATAGTAACGTGTTAATTGAGAAAAAAATTGGAATCCGTATCGAGTGTCGTGTATTTCTAAAAAGTACTGTTGAAAAGATGATTATTCGTGTGAAAAAGAGAAGAAGTGATAAGCGAGGAAGGGGAATTTAAATTGCAAATACACAGAAATTAGCATTAGCACCGGACTTCTTGTATTTTGAAATTTTAGCTAGTTCCAAGATGTAAGCAACCCGTAGTGAACGTATTTTAGCTTTAACATTATCTGGCTAAAATCCATCAATTGCCTTTTTGGTTGCAATATTTTGATATGCATCTATTCGTTAATACCTTTCTTTGTAAATATCAAAGTGAACATCCCACAAACATACTGTTCATAAATACGAGAAATTTTTATAATATGAGAGCTCCATTTTTTACCTCGTTAACTGCTCATTTTAATTGATATTTTTAAAATACTGCTTAAACACAATACAATAAAGGTTTAGACACGTGTAAGTTCAATTTCAAATGACGATAAAATGTTAATTGGCACATGAAAAGTTGAAAGATTTTAACTTTACTAGCACAATGCATGCATTGCTTGAACTTGCTGACCACTACTCGCAAGTAACTATTTAAGGCGCGTTTTCCTACAAATTCGCCGGTCACTGGTAGCCGCTACCAATTGATTCAGACATAGTTAACGTGTTTTAAATAGGACTCTTCTAGAAGCTACCGAGTCGCTACTACCAACGACTGAGTCGTAAGTCGCCAGCCGCCAGTCGTAGGTCTCGCTGAGTAGCAGATTAGTGTCCCCAGTCGCCACAAATAATAGTGTTTGTATTTGTTGCATATTTCTGTGCAGCCCATCTGGTTTGAGATCTGCATTTACTTCTCTGGTTTGCTCTTGGTCGCCATTCAATAATTAGCTTTGTCCAACGGTTATCTTTTATTCTTCCTATGTGTCCTGCCCAATTTCATTTTAACATGGCAATCTTTGGATTACATCTGTAATTTTTGTTCGTCTTCTTATTTCTTCATTGGACTTGCAATCGTAAACTTATTGTTGGACATTCTCCGTTCCATAGCTCTCTGAGTCACTTTGAGTTTGTGGACTATGTTGTTATTAAAAGCCCATGTTTCAGTTCCATATGTCAGTACCGGTAGCACATACTGATCGAAAGTTTTTGCCTTTAAAGTATTTGGTAAAAAAGATTACTGCATACTCATCATCATCATCTTTGGCTCTACAACCCTGGGTGGGTCTTGGCCTGTTCACGAATTAGTCTCCATTACCCTATCTTTCGCCCTGGCTTTCCAATTTCTGACCTCTAGATTCGTCAAGTCATCTTCGACTTGAGTTTTGAATCTAGATCTTGGCCTGCCTCTCTTCCTGATTACTACTGGCTCTTGATATAATATCTGTCTTTGGGGTCTCCAGTGTCCATTCTTTCAAGGTGTCCTAGCCACCTTAGTCTATTAATTTTAATAGACCGGACGATGTTGCATTTTCAATACCATTGATACAACTCAAAATTGTAGCGCCTGCGCCATATCCCGCTTTCTTGTACTCTTCCGTATATGTGTCAAAGTATTCGTCTTTTAAAGCGGCTTAACAATTCTTCGTCGCTTTTTACCATAGTCCATGTCTCTGACGCGTATGTCAAGACAGGTTTAATAAGAGTTTCATATATTAGTATCTTGGTTTTTCTGCTAATTATGTGTGATGTTAAGAACTGCTTTAGTCCAAAGTAAGCTTTGTTCGCCAGGTGTATTCTTCTCTTAATTTCTACGCTTACTAGGTTGCTGTTATTTAGTTGTGTTCCAAGATATATAAACTCCGAGAACCCTTCGAATGTGTGTGCTTCTGTCACCCGATCTTGTGGTGCTGTTATTTGTGTGCTGTTCGTGACCTTCATGTATTTTGTTTTGGATACGTTAACCTACAGTCCCATTGTCTTCGCGGCTTTTTCTAATGTTTCAAAAAAGCCTGTATCAGGTCTCTTTTTGTCCGTGTTACTATGTCAATGTCATCTGCGGCTCTGCGGATTTCTCTATAGCTCTTTCTACCGCGATGTTAAACAATAGGCACGATAGACTGTCTCCCTGGCGTAATCCAGTACTTATGTGTTTGAAAAGACCTTGACACTCTGTTTTGTACCTTGACTTTGCACTCAACTTTCGAAAGAGTTCCCTTTACCAATGTTATTAGATGCGATAACTGCATACTTTCTTATCAAAAAATACAGAGAATATTTAAAATATAAAAACACATTGTTATAGTTGGCCAAAAAATGCGTTTTTAATATATTTTTAACTTTTAAGTTTTAATCTAATCTGTTATTAGATGCGATAATTGCATACTATCTTATCAAAAAATACAGAGAATATTTAAAATATAAAAACATATTGTTACAGTGGACCAAAAAATGCGTTTGTAATATATTTTTAACTTTTAAATTTTAATCATCTGTATCTCAGCAATGTAGAAACTAGATATCGGAGTAACTCTAAATAATTGTCTTTGTTACAGGTTGCGTAGAAGAACTTCAGTCAAAGGCACTTTCCCCGCGTATCTGTGATGGCGTTATTGATTGTCAAGACGTTGCCGATGAGAAATCGTGTAGTTACTGCCCTAAAAATCATCTACACTGCGGGATCGGTCGCGTCTGTATTCACAAATCCAAAAGGTGTGATGGACATTCGGACTGCCCTGACGGAAGTGACGAAAGGGGATGTTGTAAGTATTATCTTTTAACTTTGAAATTGAATTTGCTTTAACTCAAAAGAGGTAAATAGATTTCGGAACATAATGAAACATTCATCACCATCACCTAAACTGATACACTTTTGATAAACTGATAAATTGATAAACTCCTATGCAAAGATCATTGTACTAAAGCTATGTTTTCGAACAGTAGAGGACATCATAATCAATGATAATTTCCAGAATATGATAGACCATCTAAATGATACATGTAATATCTATGGAATAAAGACGGAATTAAAGAAAACAAAATATATGAAAATCTCTAAAAGACCTACAAAAAACAATAAGGAATTCTTAACTATATCTGATATAATAATAGAAAAAGTAAGACAGTATACATCCCTTCGCGCAAGGTTAACGAAAGATGCTTCTTCTTCTTAAGGTGTGCATTTCTGCGTAGGCGTCCACCATACATCGTCTTATCAGGTGAGATGTTAAATATTCTGGATTAAATAATTCTGTTTTTAGCAGCATTGCGAACATTTCATAGCTGTGGATTCCTGTCCATTGTCGAATATTGCGCAGCCATGACATTTTTTTTACGTCCTAGACCTCTCCTACCCTCTATCTTCCCTTCGAGTATCAGTTGCTGAAAAGTGTATCTAATGTGCCCCAAGTATGCAGTCTTCTTACTTTTTACATAATTAAAAAGTTCCCTATCCTGTAAGCCCGCTCTTCTGAGTACTTCCTCATTTCTGACCCTGTCCGTCCATGATATTCTGAGCATTCGACGCAGGCACCACATTTCAACTTCAAGTTTGTTAATGGAACTGGCCTTTAACGTCCATGCTTTCATTCCGTACAGGAGAACAGGCCACACGTAACACTTAAGCATCTTGTATCGGAAGTTGAAGTCCAATTTGCGATCAGTCAGAAACTTACGAAGCCTCAAAAAAGCATTTCTGGCTTGTTCAACTCTGCTCTTTATTTCATTCTCGGGGTCCCAACCCTCATTCAGCAAACATCCCAAGTATTTTAATTGCCTGACTTGTTCGATTTCTTCTCCAGAGACATATATCTTTGCGTTGGGGTAATCATTTCTACTTATAATCATTGATTTTGTCTTCTTGATATTTATTTTCAAACCCCGAGCTTCACTTGCAAGATTTAAATCATTTAAAATACATTGAAGATCTTCGATGTTATCTGCCACTATGGCTGTATCATCGGCATACCTGATGTTATTAATAAATATGCCGTTAACTTTAATACCCTTATTAGAGTCTTCCACTGCTTCTGCGAAGGCTTTTTCTACGTATAAATTGAACAGCATTGGGGACAGTATACAACCTTGCCTTACTCCTTTTTTAATGGAGAAATCTTCTGTTTCGTTGGAATTTTGAAGACGTACCTACTGTTGCTGTCCGATTCCAATACAGATTGGCGATGATTCTTATATCCTTTGCATCCAATCCCAACTCTTGTAGGTATTTTATCATCAATTCATGTTTTACATTATCGAATGCTTTCTCGTAATCAATGAAACAGATAAAAACATCCTTTCTTTGATCTAAACAATTCTGTATCAATGTTTGCATGCTAAAGACGCTTCTCTCGTGCCAAATCCATTTTTGAAACCAAACTGACTCCATCCACTGACCTCTTCACATTTCTTAAACAATCTATTGTGAAGTATTCTCAGAAAAAGTTTTAAAAAGTGACTCATTAGGCTTATTAATCGGTGGTCCATGCAGAAGTTCGCACGTGGTGTTTTTGGTAGGGCGATAAATGTAGATCGAAGCCAATCTTTTGGAATCTGGCCCGTATCGTAGATGTCGTTAAAGAGCTTGACAATAATGTCTAGGTTTTCTTCATTAAGTAACTTGATTGTTTCTGCGTACATATCATCTGGTCCTGGGTTTTGTTACTTTTTAATAGTTTGATAGCGTGTACAATTTCAGCTTTCAAAATACTTGGGCCATACAAATGGTCTCCCAGTTGTGGTGGTTTTTGTGTTCTGTCATCATTGAACAAATTGGCTGTGTACATTTTCCAAGTATTAAGTATATCGCTAGGGTCCGTTATTAATTCATTTTGGTCATTATGTATACCAGTGACTTGTTTTTTCTTGAAGACACCAGCAATTTCCTTAATTTTCTTGTGAAGATTGAAGCTGTCGCCGAGTTTATATAGGCTTTCAGCCTCGGCGCAAAGTGTAGTCATCCAGATCTCCTTCGCCGCTATAATTTCTTTGCAGTAACGAAAGATGCGGTACAAGCAAAAAAAATAAGATGGCGTATAGAAATATCAAGAGAAATCTGCTTAAAATAAAAAAGCTACTCAATAGGGATATAACATAACAATTAACAACGAGAATATGCCGATTCTATGTATTTTTCTATTGTTATATGGCGTTAAAGCATGGACGCTCATCCCCAAGATTTGTCGTTACAAGCAAGAGTTGTAAATAAATATCCGTCCAACATCTCCGTATGTAATCCGTACAACTCAAAACGTTTAAAAAACTAGCTTCATATTTCGACAAGTATTCGTTACACACGACAAAAGGAAAACTCTCACCTTTCCACCAAATTGTTGCCATGTTCCATTAACAAACTGTCTAACGAATACAGACAGCCGTTAGGAAACTCCACTACAGTATATTGCTAAAACTCCACTCTTTTACCAGCAATAGTTGTTAATACTCAGTTCACTTCGAGCATTGTAGTCAGTGAGGGATCGGTTTTCTGTAGTTTGCCGGTCTCATTGCTTAATTATATATCTCCATACGAACTGTCATTACCATTTATTACAAAAATAAACATTATGTTGAACATAGTTACATAAATGGAGCACCCTTAAAACCAAACAAATACCCCAAAAAACACACAACACACCCAAGAAAATATGCGGACAATCCAGCAAGATGTAAAAATATTGTTCTATTGATTTTTGGTAATGTGTAAAAAATATTCCGTCACTGAATCTTTTATCTAAATTAATTGTTGAAAAATCGACAAAAAACCGTTATACACGGTTTCAACAAGTTCAGTAACAACTTACCTAATTTGAAATCTAGTTTCTATAAGTATTTAACAACTCGTGACCATTATATAAAAATCGGTCATTATTTCTGATTAACTGAAATTGACTGGTTTAAAACCAATTTTATGCATTGCTTACCATTGAACACGATTTTGCAGGGCCGTACATTGTAAGATTATTGCTTTGAGCACATTTACTAATAAACCCATTGTCGACTCGTGATATTTGAGTTTGGAGTGTTTAATACCAAATCCAATAATTCTCAAGTAAAAGTTATAGGTATAATTTCTGATCCAAATGAAGTAAGCGCTAAAATTTTGAGCTTGTTCATGTATTAAAACAAAAAAATAAAAAACTTGTTTTGACAGCTTAAATTTTACCAGACACTTATACAACGCTTATACAAAATCAATTCATCGTACAATCTAGAAAATTTGATACAATAGCTATCCTTATGGACCAAAGACAGCTGTTACAATTTCATAAGTATTATAGTATTAAAAGAAATAATTGTAACTCTAGCTAAATTCATTGCCATTTAAAATAAAAAAAATTTTTTATTTCTTTTATATTTTATTTACTTAAAATTTTAATGGATTTTGATATTTTTGACGGAATATGATGATTTCTATACTATAATCTAACTGACCACTCCCAATCATGACGCTAAAATTCTCTCAGTAGTTATTTCATTGTAAATCATAAGAAGAAACCAGAAAAAAACTTATGATGCTATCTTGACACAATAAGTATTTGATCTTATATTGCGTTTACCTTCATTATTAACGTCAAACGCAAATTTTTTATGTATGTGAATTTAAAGCATAAATGACGTAATCCTCGATATGTTATTGAGTTACTAATAGTGGTATTTTCTTTTTATTGATTTTTTCTTTTACTATTCTTCTTCTTCCTTTTTATAAGCAATTCCGTTTGTTCATTGTCGGATTAATACCTCTATGGAAGGTTGTCACTCCATCTTTTGCGAGGTTGTCCGATACTTCTGCCGATTTGTGACTTATCTCTTGCTATTTGATGACACGGGTCTCCTCCATTCTGATTGTGTGGTTATTCCATTTTTTTTTCTATTTTGTGTCCACTCATTTATACAGTGTACGTTACATTTTCTTCTAATGTTTTCACTTTTCTTTCGATGTCTCAGCGTATTTCCTGTAATTCTTCTCAGTACTCTCATCTCTGCCGTTTTTAGTAGCCTTTGCGTTGTGGCTGTGTTGGGTCTTGTTTCTGAGGTATGTGTCATTATTGGTCTTCTGTTGGCTTTATAATTTTTTGACTTCATCTCAGTGTTAATGTATTTGTTTTCTGTATAAAGTGTTATTAAGGCATCCTGACAGTCTATTTTCTTTTTGTATTTGGTCTCTCACTTCTTTGTTCAGGTCTCCATAGCTGGACAGTGTAATTCCCAGGTATTTTTTTTTCATTACTTGTTCAATACTGATGCCATCAATTTCTATTTTACATCTGATTGGTTCTTTGCCGACTACTATTGTTTTAGTTTTCTGAGATGATATTGTAATATTAAATTCTTTTGCTCTTATGTTAAATCTATGGACCAGCCTTTTCAGACTATCTCCATCTTAAGCTATCAACATTGCGTCGTCTGCGTAACAGAGTATTTTGATTTCTTTGTTTCCATTTTGTATCATATTCCTTTGTTAACGGTCTTGATGATTTCATCCATGATTATATTGAAGATCATGGGGCTCAATGAATCCCCTTGTCTTATTCCGTTGCCTATTTCTATAGGTTCTGTAAGTTGTCCATCTATTCTGACTTCCATTTTATTTAAGGGAACTTCTTTATTGTACAGAAGATATATTACATCTTTGAGTCTTACTCTGTCAAACGCTTTCTTTAGGTCAATTAGACACAGAAATACTGGTCTATTATACTCTGGTGATTTCTCAGTAATTTGTCTTATAACGAATATTGCATGCATCTGTACACGATCTTCCACTACGAAA